AGGTTAAAATCTCCAGAACGTAATTTCGCGAACCATTTCTTTACTGTGCGGAGTGCTGGAGCACGGTCCAAATAAACTTCGCGAATATCTTTTGTTGCAGCGCCTACTGTTTTTCCTTTGCGGAATTCGTATAACATAATATGACGCATATGATCTTTTTCGTTGTCCATCTTTCATGCGTCTTTTCACTAAGCAACTTAAATCAAAATGAAGTTTTTTTATGCTTGATTTACAGTCACCTTTCCAACGATATATAATCACGAGCGCCACTCTCAAACGATTCGAACGGCATCCAGCGGAATCGGGCACGAACTTATGCACTCATCCAATATTTATACATGTTTCAAGAATATACAGAAAAATTTTTGAAGAAAAAAATTAAATATTTTTTAAGTTATAGTCGATCTCCAACGGCGCAAAAAAAGGTACTTCACTGCTGCAGTGATTTCGGCCTTCTCCGTGGATGAAATCTAAAAAAAAAAATCTCGATAAGATAAGTCTGTACGTGACCCACGATAAAAAAAATAAAAAATTGACGTAATGGCGGCGTTTTAAAAAATATAGTCGAATTTTACCCAAAATTTTGGTCGTTTTTGGCCTGCCAAAATTCGATTTTTTGATCAGATCAAAAATCGATAGGTCATTGTACGCAGAACTATATATAGAACATGTGAAAAAAATCGATAGTGATCGGATCATTAATTTTAGAGTAATCACTGCAGCAAATTCGAAAATTACTGTTTCGAGAAAAACGCGTTTAAAGATAAAATGATCGTTTTCACTCGTAGCTAATGAGACTCCCTAGCTGCCGAGCTGCTGCTTTTTAAATGGCTATAACTCAAAAACTATTTGAGATATCAATTTGAAATTTTAATATGTTATTTTTAAAGGTGTAATCTACCGAAATATATTTTAATTTCACACTAGGTGTGCCCCTGAAAAAAAGTAATTTAAATAAAGTTGGAGCATTTATTTCAAAAATAGCCTTATTATATATAATATAATAGTTTTTCCAAACTAAAAACTGTAAAAACTTTTCATTTTGAGAATTATGCACTTAATTTTAGTGGAGATTCTATAAATAAAATGCCTTTAACAAATAATCAAAAATTCACTACAGAGCGCTTTCATAAAATATTTCATTATCTGCCCAATTATTGCCCGAACGAAATTTATTTGCATTAAAATTGTGCTGGACACATCACCGATAGTTGGAATGTAATCCCAAATGTAAACAGTGACCTGTTGAATACTCCTGTTCGTGAGAACTTTTAATGTAGCAAAAATAATAATAAAAGAAAATTGCGCAATACTATGTATGCGTAAAAGGATTATAAACTAGAAATAGAAAGAAGCAGAGCTAATGGCTATTTGCATTATAAAAATGTATAATCAATGCCAATGTTGACTGTTGGTCAACCAGAACAAATAGGATTTAAGTAGATACATATTTAATAAGTAAGCAAACCGGCAATTCTAACTCGCATACTACAATAGCAACAATATAGATACACACACATACACACACACATATGTATGTATATGAATGTAAAAGTAAAGAAAGTAAAGCGCTAAACAATCAAGTCCTTAACCTTTTCTCAGTTTTATTGTGTTTAAATTGAATGTAATCATGAACTGAATTGAGAGCCATGGCTCTACATGACAGTGGAGGAGATAAGGTTAAGACTGACTGTAAAATAATTAAATCGAAGGAAAAACAACGCACAATAGAGAAGAGGTTACAAAAATAGCAATAAAATGCAATCGACGTCTTAGGTACAAGCATACATACATACATACATACACACATACAAACATAGTTACATACTCAAATAATATACATTTACATACTTGCTGTCGTTACAATCACACATACGTACATAAGTATGTAAGAGTCTAGATGCGCTGGTCAGCGCAGTTTGAGATTAAGACGGTCACACCATAAACAAGTCAAACCAGGATCAGGTTCAAATCCCCTCAAGTCAACAAACTTGGCAATCGAATTCAACCTTATGCATTACAACAACTTTTAATGCAGCGACTACTTTCATGCAGAAAGGATTTTCCATTCATCGTATGTGTGTATGTACGTATGTATATACATATATATGGTATGTATTCAGTTCGGCAATATTTGTTTAGTAATCAAATGCGACACCGAGCGATTAAATCGCGCATAGCAAAGCTGCCAAGCTGCAAAGCTGGAAAAGGTCAGCCGAACTGGACTTCATCAAATGAAAAGTGCGCGTGCACTCACGCACAGCCACACACACACATACACACGTGTGCTGTGCAAATAAACTTACTTCATCCTTTTTTATGTGTAAGATGAGCGCTAGCAAGGATATGCTATCGCATGCAAACTATTTGGTATTGTCTTTTGCTGAACGGGTGGCGGAAAGGGGCAAGATTACATTCTTTCGTTGCATGACCAGTGGTCAGTTGTAACGGCGTTTATTTTTCCCCCTTACTTGTACATATATACACACACACACATGCATATATTTAGCATGCCATGATGCGTTGCGTTGCTCAGTTGTGAAATTGAAAAACTTAATCGCCGAGTAAATATTGTAAGCACCAGTAATTGAAAACAATGCAAAGTAATTAACTGCAAGCAGCTACAAATATACACAATACATACAATACATACATACATTCACGAACAGAACCCGATACACATGTATATTTAAATATTTCATGGTAAGATGATCTTACGCATAAATACATTATATGTATGTATGTATACGTTTGCGTAATTCAAAAGCATAAAGGATACTTTCGTAGGTTAACCGTTATCAGTCGAAAAGACCATATCCTGCAGCTACTGCACTCATTCAAGGATTCTCCTTTGTTAATTTAATTGCTGCGTGTGCTTTATGTGCGTCATAAAAAGGATGAATTAGCTGTACGTAGACAAACTTGCACACATAAATAAACCATGTTTATTATTTGAAAATGTAAATTATTGAAATAAAAAATATTACTCAACTATTTAGTTATGCGCTATTTTGGTTGATAAACACTAAAATTAGCGTTTAATTAGACCCATTCATGGGCTGCTGCTCAACATTGGTAGACATCTCATATATGTACATACATATGTATGTATGTATGCTTACAGCATTGAACATTAATTTTTTATGCTTTTATGTTTCTTATACTTTTATTTGCTTAAAATTAACAGAATAAATCAAGCCCTATGCAATTTTTGCTTTCCATTTAACTCTTTGAAATGCAACATTCGCAATGCAACGGATTTTATGCAACGTCACTGTCGGCCTGTCAAATTAAATCAATTCACAGGTTTGCATTTTAATGACCTAAAATATGGCATTTAAGACATTAAATATTTGCCAATTGTATTTGTTCAAGGAGGCGTTAACCTATAGTGTCGATGAGCAATTATTGCATTATTTCAGTTACAAAAAAAAACAAATAATAAGAAACGTTTAAGACAATGGAAATAGAACGAAAGTACACTCAAGAAAAACGGAGTTAATTTACTTAATTTTATTTCGTTTGCAGCTTAAGTAGTTTAAATTTTAGCACTACTATAACAATTACCTTTAATTACCATGTAAGCAAAAATTGATTTTTATTTTCTATTTGCTTACATATTTATTAATTAATTTTTTTTGTGTTTTTATATAAAGTTAAATATATTTTATTTTATTTCATCAGCAATATTCTAGCTCGACAGTTTAAAAAATTTATCAAAGACATGCTCCTGTCAGTCTGACACCAATGAACTTTCGCAGTAAGATGTCGCCAAATACAAATTGAACGAAACTCCCCAACTACCCTGAGCAGAGAACAGCGCAATTCATTATGGGAAAGTTAAAATAATTATATTTCTTTTGGAGAAAAGTTATGTAAATTAATTTATTTTATGGTACACGGTAAATCGTAACTTTATGCTAATGAATACAAGCCGATCGGTGGACAAGTCAAAGCCAAAGAACGTATATTACTAATTATTAATATACGTTCTTTGTCAAAGCCAATATGCCAAAAATAATTTATTCCAAAGTGAAATGGCTTTCGGCACAGTTACAAGACAGATTAATAAGTAAAGTCATTGAGACGAAATTAAATTTAATTAAAAATCGCTCCATTAACTATATTAAATAAAGGAAAATAAAGGAAACTATATTAATATATATTCAACCCTGAAATAATTCACTTGGTATACCAAAACTTAGCTTTTGTTAAATTATTAAATTAATATCAAGTAACCCTTTTAAATTAAAACTTATACAAGTTTAATACGTTTGGATTTTGGTCTATGTATATATATACATACGTGAATTTTGAACTATTTAGGAGTTCATTAAAATCTAATATGTGTTAACATATGTACATATACTTACATGTGTACATTTACCAAAATATGCATATTTTTTCATAAAATGCAATTGGAATGTCCATGTGCTCAGCAATCTAACCATTTATCCGTATGTGCGTGTGTACATACTGGTCGGTGCAGTTAGCACTTTGGAATTTGAAGAAGAAACAAGTTTTCCTTGTCAATCGCAAATTTTTTGCAACGCTTCGTTCATTGACTGGACATTTGTGTGCATCAAGTGGTCAAACCTGGTCAAACGGTGAAAAGCCGCCAAGGAGTATAGTTAACATCGAACTTTCGCTGGTGAGCAAAATTATTTTGTTTAATGTTTAATTAAGTGAATTTAGTGTATTAAACAGTGTAAAACAACCCGCGTAAATTGTTATTATAAAATTAAAAAATTTACGAATACAAATATTATTCAGTTTAAAATGGCAAATTACTAATCTCACTGAATGTTTGCCAAATTTGTTTTGCAAAGCGCCATCTGTGGGCAAATAGTACATAATTTCTAATCAATTAAGCGTTGTTTAATTATAAGCACCTAATATATATTAAATTCCATTAACTCTATCTAAAGTTATAATAATAAACAAATTCCATTAACTACAAAATAATTTGTTTACAGCTTTTTTAAATAATCCCCGCTCAAAACTTTACGTTTCTCAGCACTAATATTAAATTGTGAAAACGAAACAACCGTCAACGAAACGACTGAAAATGAAAAGTACTGCCATTCGTAAATTACATGTCAACGGTACAACATCTTTGCCCAAGGAAAATCCGCCGTTGGAAGAATTCTACAAGCAGTTACCAGAGGATCAAGATTTTGTACAACCCCAGAAGCAACTTCCTCAACAGGGTGCAATTACCCAAAATTTAACAACAAGCCAAGATTTAGAAGGTCAGTTGAATAATAATACATACATGTTTTTTTTTTAATGGTTTGGGAGTTATGTTAATCGCTGAATGAAAATCCAATTGCAAACCTTTAGTGAAAGGAATGCTGATGCAATAACCTTGACGATTTCTTTCAATATACTTACTTTGGTATACATACACCGCACGAAAGTTGATTGAGTAGATAGATTACTAAGAAATGACCGTAGCCGATTAGGTCCATTACATATACATACAAACTAAATTGGAACTTACAAGCGAATAACCCATATGCGCATACAAGTGAATGCATGCTAAAATATAACTCATAAGCACATGCATATATTTAGAAGAAACCGAATGATATATAAAAATGCACTACTACATTTCTTCGTATCTTATCATACGCACTGCGGGTTTCATATGGAAAGTACCATGCAGAATCTTACGACGTCGTTAAAATTAAAATACAAAAATAAATTTTAGCTTGAAATAATACGAATAATGTAATATTAATACTGCTGATATATTGTTTACTGTGTTATTGCTTATGTATTATTTCGACCTTTACCAATTATGCAGAGATATTAAATTACCTATTTTAATTTCCTTGCGTTACTACGGGCAAGCCCCAGAATTATGTACATATTTAATTAGGTATTCCCCGCTCCAGAAATGTTTAATATACAAATAGGTGTGATTTCATTTTAAACTCATCTTAAGCTTCAAACAATGATTAATTTTCGCTTTAATGTAAAATTTCTGATTAAAATCGTGACCACACCCGATATTGTGTACCTACATATTAAACTGAAGATTTTCATACACAAATATATATATAGATATGTATGTATATGAAACTATTCATGTGCATATTCTAAATCAACGAACATACTCAAATTACTTAATTGACACGTACATTCAAATGGACAAAGAAATTTGTTGCCATTCTCGTGATACAGTTTATGAATGTACGTAAATTGAGCCTTATAAACTCAACTTTAACAAACTGAATTTTAGTGATCATTTGTCCAAGGGAAGTAGGAGATTCATAAGAGTTAATTTGAGCTTTTGGGCAAAACACAGAGAAATTCCTAGTTAATCATGCTAAATAAAAACCGTAAGCTCGATTTGAAATTAGCTTCGTGTTTTCTGTACAGATTTAAGAACAAGAGTTCATATTATCTGCATTAAATTTGTGCTCGTCTACACATATATTTTATTTGAAAAATATTTAAAAAGACAATATATATTTTCTTATCATTAAACAGAAAGCAAACCGGAGCCAAACAAATTAGATACCGCAGTTGTCGCTAAAAAAGAAAAAGATACAATGGTGGCTGAGCAAAACGGCTTGAACGATGGAGCCGACGAGCAAATGTTAAGTGGTGTAGAAGATAATGATAAATTGGCCGAAAAGCGTGAAGAAGTTAAATTTATTAAAGGAGGTGACCATCAAAATGGCGATGCCAAGATTGACATTGGTGGTGTCAATGGAAAGGTAAATAATAATATATTCGTGGTCACATGGACAAATACATATATTTCTTTATTTTTACTGTTATATCTTTTATCTATTTGCGTCTGTGTAAATTTTATACATCGCAGGATAAAGAAATGGTAAGCCTAAATAGTAAAATTAAATTCTTTTGTGTGTACATATGTATGTTTGTTTATTTCAAACTTTGTAATTAATTATGTTTGAAATATTTTAGGCTTTCACCGGCATGACTAAAGAAGAATTAATGAAATATGCAAATGATCCGTTCTGGGTGCGTTTACGTTGGATTTTCTTTATTGGTTTCTGGGCAATTTGGGCCGCAATGTTAATTTGTGCTATACTTATAATTGTGCATGCCCCCAAATGTGCCGCCCCAGAACCTCTACCATGGTATAAACGAGGAATACTTGCCAAATTCGATGCACTCGAAGCAAGCGGTAGTGATATTGAAAGTGTTAAACATGTCGAAGCTTCTGGAGTCATATACGAACTGCCACCTGCTCTAACGTATTTGGTGCGTGAACCAGCCGTTGAGCAAAAAATCAAGGACATTGTCGCAAACTATAAGAAGTTAGATGTTAACGTTATACTTGATGTAACTCCAAATTATGTACCAAGTAATTCTACTTTGTTTAATGATGCTAAAAATGACAAAAGCAAACGTTCAGCTTTTATATGGAAAGAAGATTCGAAGGCTCCCAACAATTGGCGTTCACTTCAGAATGATTCAGCTTGGGCAGAAGTCGATGCTGGCAATTATGTACTCTCACAGTTTGGTGCAGGATTGTATGATTTGAAAATGAATGACAGCATCGTTAAGAATGAATTCGAAGGTGTACTGAAGCATCTACTTTCGCTGGGTGTTAAAGGTTTCCGTTTGAGGAATACTAAATTCTTTATACTATCCGACAACACTCCCGATGAGGTTGTCGCTTCAGAAGGCAATTTTGGCCATTTAGAATATGGATTTTGGACCCACACGCATAGTACCTTCCAAGAAGGCCTTGGTGACCTTTTGTATGAGTTTAAAATATTCGTTAAGAACATATCTGCAGATGCCTTCTTATCGGTCGCAGATGATATTCTACGACCAGACATTTATCACACCAAGAGCGGTGAATGGGGCGTGGATTTACCCATTTATGGACCGCTGGTGCATTCATTAAGCACAGGCTTAAGCGGGCTGAAACTTAAACATGAATTCGAAAGCACTATAAATGAAGTTGGCAAAAATACATGGCTGCAATGGAACTTCGCAGAGGTTGCAACCGCTCCAAATAATAACAGTGATTCTTCGGCAATTGCTTTGTTCGTATCTCTGTTGCCGGGGGTACCTGTCGTCGCAGTTACTAATGAGTCGCTCTTTAAAAATGTACGTCAAGAAGTATTTGCTGAAATAAAGCAATTACGGTTGTCCCCTTCGTATATGCATGGAGACTATAATGTTTACTCGTCAGATGAGCTATTCGCTTATTCCAGGTACGTTATTTTTAACATTTTATTAACATTAAGCAATTTTTATGAATTCGCATTAAATTATTGTTAATTTTTTTTAAATGCATACTATTGTAGACAAAGGTGAGAAACTAATGTCATACGTGAAGTATTCACGCATATACTTAAATGTATATTGTAGTCCCAATTATCAGATATAAATACTATTCATTCAATAAAGGCAATATTTGAATATTCCTGTCTTATTTCGTAGAATAAAATCTGGAAATCCTGGATACTTTGTAGCTTTCAATCCATCAAATGGCGTTGTCAAAGGCGAATTTGTCGATGCGGCATTACCAGATAAAATGACGGTTTATGCATTAAGTGACAATTACAACATTTCCGGTTTTACAGTCAAGTAAGTTTTCTAAATCATATATTGCGATGCCAGAAATATGCAATGTTTCGAATTTTTACAGATCCAAAGTGCAAACTAACTCACTGGAGGTATCACCAGGAGCTACAATTATACTCACATATGTGCCTGTCCAATCGGGTTAAATTCACCGAAATACTTATACATAGAACGTATAATTTCACACGTGTGACAATATTACTTATACAAAAACTGTTACATACATACATATATCAAAAATGTTAAAAAGTTGTTCAGCTTCATGCAAATATTCAAATTAAAGCTTTTACAAACATGAAAAATGGAATTCAAAGTTGAAAAAATATAGATATGTATCAAGAGCATTACAAAAATAATTCATATTTATTTTATTTCATAGGGAACGAATGTACGCAATCCCTCTAGAAAAATCTGTACCAATACACAGTAGTAATTTCTCCGGCGTAAATTTGAGATTTGATTGTCGCAAGAGGTTCCTTGCTAATTCCCAATTTAATTTGTCCGGAATTTGAAAGGTTGGTGTAGGCATACACAAAATATTTCTTATTAGTAAACAGTCAAATTCAGAGTATTTTTTACAAAACTTAATTTTAAAATTCTAAAATTTAATCATAAACACAAATTAGATTCAATACACACAGTTTATTTAATAAAAAATATACAGTTTAGTTTTTAGTAAAATTAATTACTCGCTTTTGACAACACTTCGTCGATCTGGTCGCGTTGTTCTTGGACAGCGTTCTCCAGCAATTGGGCTTCTGTTTCTAGTTCGATTTTTTTTGATTCCAACTTAAGTTCGTAACTTTTGATTTCACTACTGAGCATTATTAAACTTTTTTGATCCGCAACGGCTTGTTCGAAGCGTGTCCACCAATCTAGATGCTGTGCATCACTACCTGGAGATTGTCGACTAAGATTCTCGGTGTTTAATTCCACATGAAACGTTTCAATATCCTTAAGAATTTCTTCCACATTGGGTGGAACTGGTGGTAATGGATATTTGGAATTCTTAGACTTTTTCAACATTTTATAAAAGTAAACAAAATTTCAAGATGTAAAATATACACATCAATATTTAGCTTGTACGATGGCAGCTGTGCTAACAGCTGTTAAAATTTTTTTTATCGATTAATCCTAATCGCAGCATTTAAGTTCAATCGATACCAAATTGAAAGTACTAATAAACAAAAAAATTTACTTGTATGATTAATTGAATTTAATTTTTCATTTGGAACTAATGACCTTTTTAGTACCTAGTTTAAAGTGAAATTAAATGACATTTGACATTTTCATACCATTTTAGAAGAGTTGACAACACTGTTTGGACATTGTCCGTCCGACCAATATTTGACACTTTAATATAAGTAATTATACTGTTTTAGATGATACGAGTTGTTAAAATATATTGGAAATTCATTCATTATTTTTCAAAGGTGCTAGATGACGAGTTTTCTTTATGGCGGCAATGAACATCATAAAAGAATTAATGATAAATTTGTACAAACTTTAGTAACATAAACAAATTTTAAATAAAACACTGTTGCACCAGAAAAATACTACATCCCGAAGTGATAAAAGTTGACACAAGTCACTAACGAAATTAATTAACGCGCCGAACAAAGTTAAGATCTGTAGATATTCAATATAAGGATCGCAAAGTGGTCAGTGAAAACGTCAGATTAGTATGTAACAATCATTTTGTATTTGTTGGTGCATTGGTTGAAACAAGATTATTTAGGTGTTATAATTTGAGTAGATTTATGGAAATGTCTCCGCCTAAAAGCTGTGCGGTTTGTGGCGATAAGGCACTGGGTTATAATTTTAATGCTGTTACATGTGAGAGTTGCAAGGCTTTCTTCCGAAGAAATGCCCTGGCAAAAAAGCAGTTTACCTGTCCTTTTAGTCAGAATTGTGAGATCACTGTGGTTACTCGAAGATTTTGCCAAAGATGCCGCCTTAAAAAATGTTTGGACATAGGCATGAAAAGTGAAAATATTATGTCCGAAGAAGATAAACTCATTAAGCGACGCAAAATTGAAAATAACCGTGCGAAACGTCGTCTAAACGACAATAAGAAAGGTTCTGCAGCGGAAAGCGCCATCTTCGACACGATTTCACATGATTCCCAAAGTTCTTTTGATAGTGGCAAAGATACTGCTAATAGTGGCTCAGCAACTACAATGAATCATTCTTCACCGACGGGTTCTAATGTACCGATAAGATCACCACCTCTATTAGAGTCAGACAGTGAAGCTAAACCGGAACTAATGACCAGTAAAGAAATTGTCGAATTTATTGTTTGTGATCCCGACCGTGCATCTCAGGCTATAAGCAAGTTAATGCGTACAAAAGATGAAGCGATTGCTATTGTAGAGAAGATACTAACATCCCAAAAAGATGCTTTGCGCCTGGTATCACATCTGATTGCATTCCCAGGTAAGTCAATACAACAAAAAAAAAATGCTTAATTATTTTAGATTCATATCTGATTACTTTTGATATTTAGGTGATGCCTTGAAAATAATAAGTAAAATAATGAATTCACCATTTGATGCGCTCACAGTATTTACAAAATTTATGAGTTCGCCCACTGACGCCTTAGAAATTATATCCAAAATTGTTAGCTCTCCTCAAGATGTTGTGCAATTTATACGTAATCTAATGGAATGTCCGGAAGATGCACTCGATATAATGAATAAATTCATGAACACACCGGCAGAAGCATTGCGTATAATAAATAAAATTTTTAATACGATGAATCCGCCAACACGCAGTGATGAATTACATAAACTACTCTTGGATGCCACTAAAGAAAAGGACACACCATTTCTAACTGCGCAAGTATCGCCAGTGTCAGAGGAATCAGAAAATAGAAATTATTTGTTACAGTCGATGCTTGATAATAGTCCAGCTATGCCACAAGAAATTTCAAATTGCTTATCGCCTCATGATCAGCATGTTATGTCGGTTAATTCAGATGTAATGGTAGAATCGCCCATAAATATACAGGGCATGTCAATAAGAACGGATACGCCAGATCACACAATTCCATCTATACAAAGCCAATCATTGCAGTTGGATTCCTCAACAAGTATTCCTACAGTAGCAAAATGCTTAGAAACCTCGCGATCATCCATGCCTCTGCCTTCTAGAGATTGTCAAATTACCAACCACACATTACATTGCAGCACATCCACAAGCGTACATCACGACATTGAACTGCCAAGTACATCAGCCGGTCTCATAAACCCCAGCTCGCCCACAGATATTACGTCTGATACGACAGATTTCACTAGTGAACATTTTGATATAAAATCATTTATACAAAGTTCATTCCCTGACAATGCAAGTGGCGGAGGAGACAGTTTAAACTCATTGGAGTCCGTATTATCAGAGGTGATAAGAATCGAATTTCAGGCATTTAATAATTTACCACCAGAGCCGCGGGACAAACAAGAACAATTGCAATATCAAGCAAATAATCTTGCAATGCAGAATTCCGAACACCAACATGATCAACAGCATCAGCAAAGCGGTATTAGCGTTTGTAATACACAAGCAGCGCAACAACCTATGTGCTTGCCACCCAATGTGAGTATGGGACGAGATCTCAATGAAGCAGAGCAAATGAAATTACGTGAATTGAAATTGGCAAGTGAAGCCCTGTATTATCCAATGGACAATGATATATCTCAATTAATGATGGGCGATGAGAGAGTTAAGGTAAGTTTGAGTATAATTTTTTTAATTTAATTTTTTTTTTGCTCATCGATTAAAATATATTTTTTAGCATACTTCTCCTAGAGTATAAATATATAAAACTTTAATTACAATTGATATTAATAATATACTGATAATTTGTGTATATATGTATATACATATACAAATGTATTTATAAATATATGTATGTATAATTGGCGACGCTTTATAACCGCTGAAGCGATTTTGGCTGCGTGTATATACATTTATGTATATACATATGTGCATATATTAGGTACGCATGAGCAAGGTGCAGAGAATTTTTTTTTTTACTTTTTATAATGTAAAACAAAAAATAAGTACTTATAGTTGACTACTAAAGTCGACAGACATCACTGAAATAAGCAACATAATTTATGTATTCGTCAACAATTTTCTTATAGTTGCCGAAAGTTATTCGTTCTTTTTTTAATTTGAACAGGTGGTTCACCATTTGATTTTATCAACTATTATCAAAATAACTTACTAGGTGCACATGAACAAGAATAACTGTTGTTGTACTGTACTCGAAACTAGAAATTTCCACTGTTTGTTTTGTTGCTCGAAATTCGTTTTATCTGTGAGTGTCTATGTATGTATGTATAGCAATAAATAGTAAAAATTTAATTTTGTCCTCAGACAGAATTTGTATGAACCTCTAATGTGAAAAAATTTTAACAATTGAAAAAGGAAATGATCATTCCACAAGTAAGGAGAAGTTTTTTTTTCCTTGTAAAACCAAAATATTGGAAAATTTACTTTCTTTTTATATAATCTTGACCTTAGTCTATTAATTAATAATTACTGGAAATTGCGTTAGTTTGATAAAAAACTTTTTTTATTATTTTATTTTTGGTATTCAAACAAATCTCTGAAATCCCACAGTGTCATTTTCATAACGATATCCCATTAATTTTCCTAGCTCTATAACTAATTGTTGTCTTTGCGTATATTTGTGAACAGCACAGGAATGCAAATTTGTATATTTGTATAAATGTTTATATTTTATCAATAGATTGATAAGGGAATTGGCGGGTAAACGAAATGTTGTAAATAAAATTATTCAATGACTCACACTCAATATTAAATCTGCTGTACTTTTTCTTTTAGCCCGAAGAGGCGCAACAGGATCCAAAACTTTTGCATGTTATCAATTTAACAGCAGTTGCCATAAAACGTTTAATAAAAATGGCTAAAAAGATTGGTGTGTTCCGGGATATGTGCCAAGAAGATCAGGTGGCTCTACTGAAAGGTGGTTGTACCGAAATGATGATTATGCGCTCAGTATTGACATATGATAATAACCGTAATACGTGGAAGGTAAATTGCAGAAGAATTGAATAAAAATTTTAAGTTAAAAAAACCTATATTATTTTCTTTTACGTGAATGTGTATTTGCGTGACTTGTAGTTACCTCACATATCTAATAGTGCACATATACGGGCCGAGATTCTCAAGGAAGCCAAGGGAAATATTTATGAGGAAATTTTAAAATTTGTTGGAACATTCGATGAAAGGTGGCGTATGGACGAAAATATCATATTGATAATGTGTGCAATTGTTTTATTTACGCCTACGCGTGCGCGCATAATACACTCAGATGTAATTCGTTTAGAACAGGTACTTGCTTATAAATATATACATAAATAATCCTGAGAAATCTTACTGATATCTTTTTCACTTTTTCTTTTTTCCAGAACTCTTATTACTATCTTCTACGAAGGTATCTGGAGAGCGTCTATCCAGGCTGCGAAGCAAAATCAGCTTTTATTAAGTTAATACAGAAAATTTCGGACGTTGAACGGCTGAATCAATTTGTGATTGGTGTTTATTTAAATGTGAATCCCTCTCAGGTAGAACCGTTGTTGAGAGAAATATTTGATTTAAAAAATCATTAGGTAAATAATAGGCAGACCAGCTAAGACGCCTATTTACAATAGGCAATAAATATGTTTTTAGTTCCTTTCCTTATGCGCCAGTTGAATGTTTAAGGGTAAAGTAGTATGTCAATTTTATTGCAAAGTTACATTTAGTAACTTATCACAATGCATCACTGCGATCACACTTTTAAATAGTAGTTTTTTTTTTATAATAAATAAATTGTTGAATGTAACGCGAAAGCAACTATAGCACATACATACAATACAAAGTTTAACACGTAGAATTTGTCTCGTCAAATCGGGTGCATGTGATAAATGTACAACACTAACTAGCTTTTACAAAAACAAAAAGGTATGCTATTTTTAATATTAGAGAATGATAATAGAGCAATGTTAAATTCAAATACGTACATAGTTTAAATATTTATAATTTTAAATTGAAAAAACTTTAATATATCACCTATTCACTGTTAGAAACAACACATATGTTGATAGTTTGAAATGTGCAATTTATATGACATACATAGATTCTATCTATATTGTTTAAATAAAACAGAGTCTATTTTGTGTAACAATGGAATACTTTTTTATTTTTTTTGCCGCTAAATTTGATTGAATTGGTGAGGTTCGTGAATATAGTATATGTATAAATGAATGTGAAGTTAAGAGCAGTGCATTTTGTTTTTCAATTCGTCAATATTTTAGTGTTAATGCAAAGTAATAATTACTTGTTAAAAGTCTATTTCAATTCAAAGGAAACAAAACTAAACATTAGTGAGTTAATTAGCATTAACCACTCGATTTTCAAAATGAATGCATTGTAAACTGAGTATACATTAAATTTGGATAAATTAATGTATTCAGTTTTTAACTTCAACCAACTTAATTTTTCTACACCATATGTGTATATCCATTTGGTTATTAATACTTATTTTTAAATAAAATATCTCATCAAATCCAATTGCGCCCAACACTGCCAGATCGTCGTTTGCTGACTTTGTCAGCATTTCCACTACCGCCCATATCTTTACGACCACCGGTGTCTGGAGATCCGCCTGATCCAATGTTACGTATTAACATACGCAAACCGCGTGCTTGTGCATCACTTGCCTGAGACACATTATTAACCTCAGATGAAATTACTGAAAAGTCATCTACCACATGACCGGGAGGACTAACATCGAATGGCAAAATATCGTTGAGACTTTGTTGTGGTCTATAAAAGGTACGACGACGAGTGCCACTCGAATCACTGCTTGCATTGTTAAGATTTTGGTTACTGCCAGAAGTCGTTATTTGCTGTTGCATTTGCTGTAAACGTGTTTTCAGCAAGGCATTTTCTTCTTGCAGCCGTCTTATGTGAGCGGCTTCATATTCTGCGCGCACAAAGGTTGGTTGTGGTAGACATTGGTATATCGTTGTAAGAAAATTGCGTAAGGACAATTGCAGAGTATCTTGCCATTGTTTCGAAAAGTATAGAGCGAACGTGGGTGATTCCTCAGCATTTTTACAAAATGGGAAATCTAGAAATATATAAAAAGGTATGAAAATCGACGACTAACCTTATAATTGCAAATACATACAAAACCAGTCCTTCCATTCGCTTTGCTGTTGTAATTCTACCGCTAGTTTGGCAAAGAATTCAGTGATTTTATCTAATCGATTATTTGAGTATGCAGTCACCAAGTAAAATTTTAACAGACTATTTTCGAGTTTTTTCACAGCTGTAAAATTTGCGTTAAGCACTATATAATACTGAACGACTTGAATTTGAAAAACAAAAATTACCTGTGGCATAAGTGTGCTCCAATTTGCTAAACAAATTACTATCCAGATGTGTCCAGAGACCGCGTAACGCAGTCAAGTCATGGTTTTGTATAGATTGATTGAAATTTTCAAGCAATTTCTCAGCACGAAAACTTTGATCTTTCTCGTTTCTTTGTTCTTGGTCAAGTGTTTTTATGGTAGAAGAAAACCCTCTAAATACCAAATACTCCTTCAGAAGATTATCTAAAAAAGAAACTTGTGCCATATTGATATACAACGAAATTTGTTTACTTTGTTTGGAAAATATCATAAAAGAACTTGGAGAAAACAGCTGTAACTGAAAGTAGCGAAAAGTTTACTAGTTTTGTTCGTTTTGCATTGGCTCTGTTCGGTGACCTAACGTGCATAGCAATTGATACTGAAGTACGTACGTTGAAGCAAAAACCAGCGATATATGAATCGAGAGAGCATAATTTGACATTTCGATACTGACTAATTCTTACATTTCAAATACAAATTTCAAATTAATACAAAATGTAGCTAAATAGAGTTAAATTAAACGAATATTTTGCAAAATTCGTAACGAGAGATGCATATTTTAACTAAAATTTCAACAAAAAGAAAACGCTGCTATTTCTCAACCTATCGGATTGAAGCGTTATCGATTTTTCTTCAAGTTTTCAATTGTTGTATGTGCCATCTCCATTGTAATCATTTGACATTTTATTATGTGTGCATACATTCATTGCCAATTTCAGTTTTTCTGTGAACGCGTGGAATTGTTTTGTGAAAAATTCGATTTTCCGTATCTAAATTGCGCGCAAATAAAACCAAAATAAATGCAGTGGTTGGTGGAAAGTTTGAAATTAAAATATGAATCAAAAGGGAGCGCGAGAACAAAATGAAACATCGATAATAAGGAATCTGCCAAAGCGACTGCAAAAGAGGATCGTTGAAGATGTTGGCGAAAACACATTGGTGACTGTTGTTGAAGACAATAGGCATAATTGTAGCGCACAACCTTCAACATCCAATGGAGGCGTTAACGTTTATGTGAACAAATATGATGGATATGATAAGGTGCCTACGCGATTACTGCAAAAGGAAGATGCGTCAAGGAGGGCCAACCAAAAAGGTGAATTTCTTGTAATATGTACACACATACAAATTTATTCATATAAAGTCACATTTATGTGCATATATATTTATTTCCTTCAGAGAATGGAGCAACAGAGGTTACGCGCATTAATTTTTTCTTGAAGAATGCACCTAATGACAGTGCTCTAAATAAAAACAACACCAAAAAAGTAACTGAACCCGTTTTGGAAACCAGCGGAAAGTCAGTTGTTAATAATGGCGTTAGTATGAAAGGTGGACACAGTGGTTTGAGTAATGCTTCGATACCAGGAATTTTACGTTTAAATGAATCAAAGCAAGTAGTTGACATGGAAAAAAACAATTTGAACGAGAAAAATTTAATGAAAAATAGTGGCAGAAGGCCAGCAGCACGTAATAAGCGAGTCACTCAAGATAACCCTTCAACGAAATCACCCTCGCGTCAGCTACAACGACAATCCAAACAGCCACTTTGGTTTGAAATGCTTGCTGATATACCATATGCACAGTCACTATCAAAATATTACGAAAAAATTACGTCAATGATGCATTACAATGTTGTAGTAGAGGTATGATAGTTAAAGTAAAAAAAGGTAGATTGTATTAAAGCTTTCTTTTTAATTTTTTTTTTAGCAATGGTGTCAGTTTGCTGAGGCGCGTAATGAACTTCAAACTATATTTGCAAAACTATTGCTGCAACAACTTAAATTATGCTGTGAACAAAAAATTGATACGTTCTTTTGGAAACTACTTTATTACAATGTACGAGAATACTTTACAAAAAATAACAATAGCAAATCAAATACTAATGAAATGCACAACAAATTGCTCATAATAATTGATGAAGGTCTAGAATTCTACACTGATTTGCACACAAAGCTTAGTGCGAAATATATAAACCCCTATCAACAAGCCTCAAACATTAGTTCATCTGAAAAATTACCAGAACCACGTTCAACGCACAAATTTGAATTTATTGCCAAAGTAGCTGCTCAAAAGTTACTTATTTGTTTGGGTGATCTCTGTCGCTACAAAACCAAAGAACTACAATCAAATGATTACACCGATGCAGCCAAGTATTACCAGCAAGCACAAGTACTGATACCCACAAATGGTATACCATACAATCAATTAGCTATCGTATCCATACATGCGGTAGGTACAACAATTAAATATCAGTACACACAAATACATATATTTTTTCAATCTGTAGCGTAAGAAATTCGACGCCGTTTATTATCATATGCGCAGCTTATTGTCTTCCAACGCTATATATTCAGCACGTGAGAGCCTCTTAGTGTTATTCGACGAAATACGTAAGAAGGTTAGTAATCAGTGTTTCATAGCATTTCTAAAAAATAAATAAGTTATGCGTACATATATGTTTAGTATGAAGAGAATGAGCTGAAAGCTTCACCTCTGCATCAGAGCAGTCCAAGATGCAATAATACTAGAGCTTCCAAATCAATGCGTAAAGAAGTATGGATACATGTAGATGGTGTACGAAGATTGCATCGCACCTCCGAATCTGACAGTGGTCGCAGTAAAAGGGCTATATTAAAAGAAGAACAAGGTTTTAAACAGCTGAACGATGAAGAGGCAAGTGAAGTATAAATTTGTTTTTAAAACTATATATATTTTTAATTATTTCATAATTTTGGTAAACAATTTTTTATTCTGCAGCTGATTCGCCGTTTCACATCGCTATATTTGTATATTATTGGGAAATTATATACTGGCATAGGGTAAGTTTGTGTACACGTATGTATATGTAGATCAATAAATTCATATTTTATGTTTACTTCTAAATAATTTATACTTTTTATTTATTAATAAAAAAGATATTTTTTTATTTTTTTTTTATTGTTATTCTGAATTATTTTTTTATATTTATTTTTATTATTTCAATTTTTTATTTTTATATCTTGTTTGTATAAAAAACTAAAAAAAAATATTTGTTGTTGTTTAATGTTAGTATGGAGTCTGTAGTTGCGCACCAACGTAAACTTTTGGCGGAGCTAAGTGTTCTGCTCAGTCGCAGCCCATTTCCAATTAAACGATCTCGCCTACTGAAAATAGTGGCTTTAAACATTTTTATTCTAGAGCATAATATGCATAAGGGTAAGTAGCAGGTTATAAATAATTAATTATCAATAAAAACAAAAGCTAATTTATTTATTTATTTCTTTTTTCAAAAAATTCATGAAGAATCACGACGAGAAATTCGTTACTATGCATTTAATTTTTGTAACCAAATATTTGGTTTGCTGCTACGCAAGTGTAATCAATTATTCGAAACGTTTGAGGATAAATTATTGGACCACGAAGATCTAAGGTAAGCGTCACTTTCTCCATTATATTTATTGTTATATTATTGTTGTAATGAAAATATAATTTTCTATAGTTTTATTGAACTCAACACCTTGCTACAGTACATAAATATTTATACGGACTGGTTGACGCGCAACGTCGCTATTTGGGAGCCAGTGCGCAATGAAGAGTTAGTTTTTTTAGACATATTTTCGCTTTCAAATTGTTGTATTAAATTATTTTTTCAATACACAGACATATCATTATGAATAGCTGGGCGGAATGGGAAAGTTTTTATCAAGTGCTCAAACGCTTAATCGATGATAAATCGATAAATAACGTGCCAATCGATTCGCTCGATGAAGAGGTCTACTTATCAGGCTTTACACCGTTAATGCCTTCCACTAACAACAGCAATGCGTGCAAATGTTTGCCCGTGAAATCCATTTGTAGTGAAAGTGAGCAATTTTTTGCACGTTTACAGAAAATTCAAAACTTCCAAGAGAATTATGAAAGTAATCAAGCCAACCTGCATACGCATGAAGACTCATTTACAATAGAAGAGTTAAACGGCGCTATGGAGAATGTGCTCAGCAGTTGGCAGAGTGACGAAGATGATAATAGTGAAAATATTGTTGTGAACGGCGCAAACTCTGAAAGATTCATAAAAGATGCGAATGCAACTGACGGTGTTGAGGATGCACAAATTTCACAATTATCAAAGCGGAGAAAGGAGCTAGAGGCACGAACGAATGTAAAGAAAATGTATAACGCAAAATTAGAGGTAAGCTTGCAAGAGGAGGAAAATTCGAAGGTGTAGCATTCTGTACAATATCAATCATTTATTATTTATCATTTCAGGAAATACTCAAATTTTTAGATACAAAAGTCTATATAGAAGTGCGTCCCAAATATCTTATGCCCGATACAAACTGCTTTATTGACTGTCTGGACGATTTTGTGAATCTTATTAACGAGCATAAGCGTTACATACTCGTTATACCACTGACTGGTAGATTTTTGAGCATAAAACCAAAAATCGTCTTTAATAATTATCCAACATTTTCATAATATTTTTAGTTGTCAAAGAGTTAGATGGCCTCTATAAAGGCGTCAAAGTGGAGTCTTATCAGGATTCTACACAAAAGAATCGCATACATCACTATGACGATGTTTCCACATGCGCTAAACGCTCACTGGATTTCATAATGAGCGCAAAAAATAACGTCAAGTAGGTTAACAATATTTCATTGTTATTTTTTAATTAAAGAAAAGAATTGCATAATCTTAACATTCTTTACGCAGGTGTGCCACTACGAAAGGTTCATTTATAAATGCATCATTATTTGCTTTGGCCGAAGAGGAATTTATGTCAAATGATGATAAAATTTTATCAACTGCATTATCACTTTCGAAAACAATGAGCACTGAAACCAATAGCGGTAAATATAGTTGCGAACATAGAATTAACTGCAAAAAATATTATAAATTAATTTTCACCATTTTTACAGACGGCAAATATTTCATACAAACCGAATTGGTACTAATCACAACGGATCGCAATTTGCGTGTTAAAGCTTTGGCGCGCAACTTGGCTGTTAGTGAAATGGCTGAATTTCTGCAATGGGTCAAGGACTGTAATACCTAACATTATGTAATAAAAAAAACGACGGGTTTTATTTACATCACACTCATACATGCATAATGTGTGCATGGAGAGTGCGCTAGCTGGTGAGCCGGACCTAATTACAGGTGTGCTTGTATTGTTGAAAATGCATAAAATTAAATCAACATAATAAAAAAAAAAACGGCGCACGTCGACGCATATAACAGCTGACTTAACATTTTTATAGTATGCATACATACTTACCATATATACATATATATGTATATAAAAGGTTTAGTGCATGCATATACATATACGTATATGTATTTGTACAACTCAATGCTGTTATACATATACTTATACTTATACTTGGAATATCTATTTGTAAATTTGTAACAAAATCTTATACATTCTTTTCTTGTTGAAATAATCTGATTGGTTATATACACATATATATATATATTTACTTCTATTTTTCATTAATGAGTGTACAACCATTGGGGTTTGGGTAAACTTTTATACCACAATTTCTGTGTGAATTTTTTATTATACTTCCAATAAATGCGATTTTGCTAAAAGAAAAAGAAATCTGTCTATATTTTAAATTAAAAAAAATGCTAAATTAGCGAAAATATGTGATAACTGAAAACATATGCAAAAGTACTTAGGTACAAATAAAACACAATTTTTTTTTCGATAATATTTTATGTATTTGTATATTTGCTTAATAATCCTTTTTTTAATGCATTGCTTTATTCGGTTTATGCAGGTATTTATTATATATTTTGTTGCTCTTTATAAATTATTAGCTAAAATTGGAAACCATTTTCTTAACTTACACAAAAAAAAATGCATACATATATATTGTATAAATAGCAATAAATTATTATTGTTTGTCAATTTACTTAAAACTTAGGAAACTAAAGTTCTACAATTATTTATATATATGTAAGCTTCTATGTAGTATTATTGTATAATCGCAGCTCTAGTTAGCACTAGAGAAAAGGAGTTATTTTTACGTTAAATATTATAGCCGAAATTAAGTTGTTAAACACTTATTATGTTCAAATATTTAATTTTTATATTTAAATTAATTTTAAATGAAGAGTAGAAAAGGCAATATCGTTTCAGCTTTTAGGAATTGAAAGTATTTTTGTTTTGCATTTATTTGTAAATTCTCTCATTACTGTTCACACATACATATCTGTGTGTGTGTACAATATGAATGTGTCTGTGTTATATGTATGTAAATTAGATGGTCGGCCAGCGATGCAAGGGCATGAATGGCCAAGAGGTTTGTGTGCTGAATGTATATATTTTTTTTTTTTATAAATTTATTGTTGTATTTTTTATATTTTACGTTTAGCCGGCTTTTGTATGCACTTCAAAAATCGAAGCATAAGTTTTTCATAGAAAGTTAAATTAGTTAGTGTTTTGTTTTATTATTGTTTTTGTATGAAATATATATTTATGTGAATTGGTTTCTTTATTATTAATATATATATATATTTTTTTCATTAGAAAATTCCGTGCATTTTGGCGCAACAATTGCTTTAAATATTTGTATCAATATAGTATGTATGTATGTATATGTATATATGAATTAATGTATGTATGTATGCATGTAGATGTGTTTAGTGTGTGCTTAACGAGTTTTAACTGCTTGATTGATTGGCTGACGTTATAACGAAGCTTTAGCGCCTAAATGTATGCTTTGTGCATTATTGTATATTTGTTATTTAAAAATTTATGCTTGTATTGTATGTATGTAATTAAATATATTTATGTATTTTAAGGAGTGCACAGTGATTTCGATATATACTATGTATGTATGTATGTATGCGTGTATATCATTTCATAAATATCTATAAATGTATGTATATGTATATTTAATTTCTTCTTTATCGTCTCTTTAAATAAATGCACAACTCGCTAAAACTGAACAAATTTCGGATAATTGTTGTTGTTGCATTGTAAATTTTCCATTGATTTAATAATTACTATTTGTTTTTTTATTTTTAATTTTATTTTTATTTTATTTTTTAGCTGAAGCATTTGCTTTTGAGCGCGTTTTAGCTTTGCTTTCTTTTGCGAATCCGCAAATTGTCCGAATACATGCATGTTATGTACGCGTATATATATATATCAATATGTGTGCATGCTATTACATATAATATGCCTTTATATATGTGTGTAATTCGAAAATTGGCAATAAGCGTCATACGTCCTCGTCTAATTATTACTGCACCCCTTCACTCTCTCTCCACGCCTCCTCAACTACATACGTGTATGTCTTAGACGTCGGCGTCGTGAAATTAAACGCTTTTCGAAATTGCTTTTCGTTCGTTTCGTCACAGCGTTGCCCATTGAAGATCAGCGAAGAGCATTTACAACAATAACAACCACCAAGTCGTTTAGAGCGCTGTCTCCAAAGCCGGCATTGGCGTTACTGTCGCTGTGGTCGCTGAACTAAGTGTCGCCACCGTCGTTGGTGATTGTGTTGCATACTGACGATTGGCGTCGCTGTGCGTGTTCGAGGGTAGACGCAAAGGACTACTGTTGTACGCACCCACCGACTGCCCACCAACATATTTACCACCGACAAGAGATGTGCCAGCTGTTGCTGTGGGCGCTGGTGATGCAGCCGTTTGGTTTCTGTTGTACGCGTTCTTCATTTCGCCGCGCATGAAATTATTCTCTTCCGTTTGTAAGAAAAAATTTCGCTTCAAATCATATGAACGGCTGCTGATGCTGTCGGGTGCATGCGTTGTTGGTGTTCTCATTGCGGCATTCATCGACACTATTGACTTTGACTCATTGCCATCCCGCGAACTGTTCGTACTCGAGGCGTTGCTGGAATGATCCTCTTCGCTATTGACCTCTGGTATTGTGGTGGACATGATGTTGGTGCGCTGCACTGTGCTTGCAAGGCCACTGCCACCCGAGGCATTCTTCATTTTGGGCGCGAAACTTTTCGAAGGCGAACCGAACTGTCCCTGTCGCAACATGCGGCGATTGGCAAACGTTTTTGGCGAACCACTCAAGTCCAGCAATTTCATGCTGCTGTTCAAGGCTGGCGTAGCACCATTCGTAGCGCCAGCCTTAATAGGCGCCGACGGGTCTGTCACCGACATATTAACCGGATTGGTTTTCTTCAACAACTCGACAGCGGAAAGTTTCCTTTGCACCGGACTCGTTTTAGCCGATTTCGCTAGTAGCAACTTTTTAAAGTCCAACAGACTCGTCTTACTATGACCAATACGATCCGAGCAAGTGTTGTAGCGTTCCGGGGAATTATCATCAGCCCAATTTGGATTGCGGCTAAGCGGTTGTCTGCAGGGCGAGTTATTGAGCGCGGCCAGTGCGCCGGCGTCATCGCCTCGTGAAGGTGTGGACGTTTGGAATCCATTACGATTACGTGGCACAATTGGCGATAGGTTACTTGCACCATTTAGCCCATTCACGTTATTTTGCGTTGAACTCGTTGCTGCTGCTGCTGCAGCTGCGCGTGCCACACGTTCGGAACGTTTTATCGGCGTGGCATAAAGATCGTCGCGACAAGTGACATTACTTGGCGGCGGCTTTTGGTGCTTGCGATTCTGTAACGTCCAGTAGATGGGTGTGTTACGTTGAAAGGGCGTTGCGGCCTCCGCGACCACCACCGGTGACTGGGATTCCGTATCAACTGGCGGTTTTGGCAGTGGTTGTTGCTGATCTCTCGTTCTAAAGAAACGTTGATAGCCTGCGAAGAGAAGTGAATATATTTACATGAATTAAATTTACATTAAAAAAAAACATACAAATGTAGAATTTAGCAATGAATAACCGGTGTAGAGGGTATATAATAGTAAAAAAGAGCTTAGCAAGTGACCCAGATTTCAATTTGTTCTTAATGAAAATATTAGTAAAACGAAAATTAAAAACTTTATGTATATGTGTGAATTAAAAGGCAAAACGGTTTCAGATTATAAAGGGTTAATATTATTACAACAACAAATAGATGATACAAATTAAAATTGTAAACTGTACTTACCGAAGCTTGATTAAGGAAATCTGTGCTTAAATTGGTGCAGGGTGATGGAAATTGCTTAACTTATTTAGTCTTTTTTGTTCTTGTTTTTATTATTTACATTAAACGTGTGAGTTTGAGTAGGGAAAAACCAAAATCTTACAAGCCGAAACTGATTTTGAAAACCGATTCCCAAGATTTTTATATACACTCTTCGTGACCAATTGAGAAGGAAAGAAAGTAACTCTGCTCCTGAAGCCCATTTTTCTCTGGCAATTTCGCACTCAATGGAACTTAGAGCAGAGAGAACAAGTCTGTAATAAATAACTAAGAGAAATGCGACGACAAAATTAAATCACTGGATATTAAAGTCTCTCCTAACAAATTGGTACCAAAGCCGTCAGGATAATAAAAAAGGATATGGATAAGTAAAAAAATTTCCACTTTTTTTTTGGACACAAGTTGGCGTTGATACTCTCATTTCCCGCAAAGCTAATAGAATTGTGTCAAACTAACACGTGTTTGAAAATTGACATTTCAAGCCATACTTTGAGCCCAGCACACAAGAGTGGTTCGCTTGATTCGATCATGGATATTACGATGGTGGACAGTCACTTAAATAGCCGATGAGCAAGATCTGTTGTCAGAAGATATTATAGGCAATGGGCTTCAACCAACTGACAGTTGGGAAGGTTGGCTACTCATAGAAGCTCAATGTAAAAATATTTTATTGACCAAATTACCTTAAGGGAAACCTTACGCGGAAGCGCAACAAAATCGAACCATTTGAGAGGCGCCTCCGCAATGGGCAGTGGAAAATGAGTTACATACGAGAATATAAAACAAAAAAATCACGACGGTGATCCTCCACAAACGACTTCAAGGCCTGGTAAACAAGGCAAGTAAGGTGATGCTGATTGAGGGTGGGTTTTGAAGGGAAGCGTCCTAAAGGAATCTGAAAAAAAGGTCACTTCTGAGTACTGCTGTCAAAAATATCAGCTCATAACAATAGTAAAGAAGGTTCCAGGTGTATAATTACAAGGGCAGTGGGTTCACTCAGTCTTTCCTTAATAATGAATAAATATGAATTTTTGAGCACCAGGAGATCTCTCAATACACTGCTTTCTTCAGTTTGAGTTTACTGCCTGTTCGCTTAGACTAGAATGAGGGCGGCTATATCTTCAATTTCCAACAATAGATCTCTTTGTTTTCCTTAATGCAATTGCTTCCAATTGGAAAACATTATTTCTGCCTAAAAACCTGCACCTTGATAAATTTAGAGCTTCCAGTAGGTAAAGACACCATCTTTCCAAAGCATCGGGTAATGTTTATAAGTTTCTTGACTGAACTGAAATGTTCTTTCATGATGTTCGCTTTTCAAGTATAATCTTGAAACTGCTACCAATCTAAACTCAGAACAACGGTGAAGGGTTCCTGTAGTTTAGCGGAAGTCCACAAATATATTGCATAGCAAGACTGCTAGATTTCGATGGACAAAATAAGTACCGATGTGTTGCAGGATCTTGTCAAGTACAATAAGACTCAACCCAACAAACTCTTCAGCGGCTTGAAGCCTTGTCGGTCTCTTCCATACTAGGGAAGGTGAGAGAGTTTTTTTAGACATGTGGTTTTCAAGAAGAAAAAAATAAATAAAATAATTGCCAAGAATTTAGCTTTATTATAGAGATAAGAGATAAGGGTTTGCCATTTTGTTGTAAAAATGATTCCGGGTAAGTTACTGCTATGGTTGGCTTGAATAAATTCCAGATGAGAGGCCCATTTTTCGACCATTTTTCTAGCAGTTGGGGGGAAATATGCGTCAATCGTCTCGGGATTCTTTGCGTGGACAAGCGACTTCACATAATCCCACAAAAAACAGTCCGGCGGTGTTAAATCGCACGATCTGGGAGGTCACGTTACAGGTCCACTACGCCAGATAATTCGCTTACAAAAAGTTTACTACAATAAATTGATATTTTCGTTGGTTGTATGACATTTAGCGCCGTCTTGTTGAAACCAATTGTCGTCCATATCAACATTCTCCACTGAAATCCTCGGGGATGGGGATATGTGTGGAAGTTCACGCAAGTGAGCAAAGCTTTGACTGCCATTCACCTGAGTTGTGGCCAGAAACGATTTTTTTGCATGTGGTTCAAGCAGCTCACGTCTTCCGGTCTGAGACCACATAACCCCTGCTTAGCCAACAAACATCCGTTTGAAGGCGACCTAAAGTGACCATGCGGCTCTGCGTGGAGCTTGGGACCCACCACATGAAAAACAAAATCTAATTAAAATTTTCAATCAGCCTTGCACGAGAGACCCCCCTTTTGAAGACGACCGCTGAAAATGTTGTAAGGATTAAGATTTTAGGACATGCACCTGGAATATCCGGTACCTTAATTGGGCCGCTGCCCAGCTGGTTGATGTCCTCTTAAAGTTACAGGATGACAACACCGCCGCCCAAGAAAAGCGATGGACGGGACAAGAATAGAAAAAGGTGGATCCTTGTGAAATTTACTACAGCGACGGTATAAAAAAAATATCTAGTTAAGGCCATTGATCATGGCTCTATAGCATACCCCATTGACTGTAGAATGAATACCTCTGCCTATAGAGTACAGCAAACAGTGAACTTTTGAGGAAGTAAAGATGTCTCCACAAATAGCTGGCGCAACCAAATTGAGCTTCATCACTGAACACAATTTTCTTGCGAAAATCGGGGTCGATCGCCTTCTGGTCTTGGGCTCATTTACTGCACGTTCGACGCGTTTGATGATTTTTCGGCTTCAATTCTCACACCAATTGGATTTTGTGAGCACACAAACCAATACGCTTGGCAAAATCTTCTATGCTTCACAGCAGTTAGAGTATTTTCGGTGCGCACTGTGCAGCGTTTCTGAAGATTTTGGTTATCCGTTGCCGCGACAGTCGGGCCTTTGTACCGGAATGACCCGGATTTTTTATCCGGCCAAGGAGTGTCACTCCCGTAACATCCCGTAACAACATTATTATTCTCAAGTGTAAACGTGGTGCTAAAGCGATTCATGATTGATCGACGATTTGCAAACATAGTTTCGGAGAAAGTCTGTTCATTATGAATTGGCAAGCCAAACTGAGTATCAACAAGTAACAGCTATCAAAGGGACTAACTCCGAAAACAGGAATGCCTTAGTGAAAACCACATGTCTAAAAAGCAGTTTTTCTCATACAAGCGCTACACTGTGCTATGATTACTAGATGTCTAGGTTTGAAACTATACAGTGTGTCCCAAAAATAACCGAACTTTATATTTAAATCATACAACATACAGCGCCATCTATTGAAAGTTTGCAACATTAAAAAGATACATTCATCCTCTTTCAAACGCACCTAACATCCTGTAAGTCGGATGACAGATGTAAAAGTGACAGCCATTTCAAAAAAACCAAAAGTGTGCGAATGGTTCAAAAATATAATGAAACAAAGAGTAAATATAAAATTTTGTGTCAAACTTGAAAAAAAAATTAATGAAAAAAGTTTATTGTGATGATTCTATGAGTCGTACGTAAGTTTACACGATTTAAAAATGGACCCTAAAGCAGGACGTCCAGAAACTAGTAATCGTGCTGAACTGGTGGAAAAAGTCCGTGAAATCATTGGTATCGGTGCAAATTTTACTACAAGAATGTTGGCTGAGGAATTGAATACGAGCAAAAACACTATTTGGAGCATTTTAACTAAAGATTTGGGGAAAAGAAAGTTCTGTGCGCGATTTGTTCCACATGAATTCAATGACGACCAAAAAATCGCTAGAATTTTTAATGAAAAAAGGGATTTCTCTCATCGACCATCCTCCGTATTCGCCTGATCTATCACCATGTGACTATTTTTTATTTCCAAAACTGAAAACCAAGATGAAGAGAGCATTCCATGATGATATCCCAGCCATTCAAGCAGCCGTAACCGAGGTACTGAAGAACATTTCTATAAATGACAAAAAAAAAACTATGCACGCACTGGTTGATCGTTCCAAACGTTGTGTTGAGTCAAATGGAACCTATTTTGAATAAATAATAACTTTCAAAGATAATATAATGTGTATTTTATTTTATATCTAAAAAGTTCGGTTATTTTTGGGACACACCGTGTATTTTATATACGAGTATGTATATCAATATTAAAAGATTTCCATTTGAAATGCAGAAGTTTTCGGTGCGAATTACCGAATCCTGGTAAGTTGTATATCGATAATATGCAATATATGTCTCTCTTATGTACATGACACCCACCTTGAACCCACTTTGAATGGATAATGAGAATCGTACCAATCCCAGAGTCTATGAACCAGTGAATTAATATTTACAGTATAAATAACACGTCCCAATAATTATTAAATATTTTATGAAATGATTTTTGTGGATTTATTTTATTGAAAACATTGGCAAGTGAAACAGCATAAATGGAATTGAACAAACAATTATTAAAATATACATACTTACACGTATTTAAACCCTTTTCTTAAACATAATTTTCATTAACGTTAAGTCTCTGCGGGCGTTAGCCAATGAAGGCTTACCATTTGGACTTTCAACTTAAAACTAGTGAACAAAAAAAAAAAATATATATATATATATTAATAAAATTCTAACACACACACGCACATGCATAATGTGTGAAACAAATACAGAATTACAACAATAGGCATATCAATTATAATTGCATAACAGAACAAACACAAAAAGGTAATAAGTAAA